TAGTAGTTATTTCTACTCCACACCTTTGTTTTCTCATCTGTCAAAAGGATAAAATCACTGCCATCCTCAGTGTAAACAGCAGAGGAATGGGACACCGTGGATGGGTTGGGTCTGTGGAAGATGAATGTGTGAGACATAAGGAGGAGGTGTTTCCCTGAGAATACAGACTCTTCCTCATCATCTAGTAGTGGCTTCCAGTGAGTGTGCATTGTGAGCCACACAAAGAACTCAAAAGAATCACAGTTATGAAAGTGATGTCTGATACCTTCAGTTTTATCCTGCCTTTTTTGTAAATGCTGGCAGAGACCCTCTCAGAAGGTAGCAGAGCCCACGGCTACAGGATTACAGCCTCCAACAAGAAACAATGCGTTAAGCCTGACATGTTTTGCTGGCTAGCACACGGTTTCAAACTTTCCTGTCTCAACAGTGCTCACCAAACACTTGTCCACAGGTGGTTTCAACCCTCGGTGGCCTTTTATAACCCAAGCAGCTGTGCACAAATCGAGCCACAGGTAACTCGGCCCTTGTACGATCGAGGAAACCCAGTCACACATACCTGCTGCATACTCTGTCCCCTGAGGTGGTCCAGGCTGCCCTGGTGTCACTGCTGTGCCTGGGAGTAAATGCAGCCGGGCATGGAGGTGCTGAAGGCCCCTCCTGCATCACCCTTACAGTGGGTCCCGGTGTCAGCACCGAGGAACAGTCAGGTCATGGCTCCCTCTCCAGAGGAGACCACAGGTCCCCACTTGCATGGTTCACTGACCCTTCCAAGGGTTTCTGATATGGGCAAGTGAGTGATTTCGAAATGTTTCTTTTCTTTATTCTAATGGTGGACAGAAGCGCTAGTCAGGAAACCCAGGACAAAGGAACAAAAATATCCAGTGTGTGTTTTTCTGGCATTCAGCAACTCCAGCATGTGAAAGCATGTTCTGCTCTTTGAACAAAGAACACTTCGCTGCCTGGTGCTCTGCACCTGAACTGATCTCAGAGGATTTGCAGGCTAGAATCTGACAGGAGATGTATGACTTCTCTCTTGAGAATCTTACCCTTCGACAGGGAGGTATCCTTTCTTTCTAATGGAAACAGCCCCTTAGGAAGAGTGGCCTTAGGAGCCCCTCAGATCCTTTCTTTGAAATATATACCGCTTTCTGACTCTGGGGTGCTTTGGAAAGAGTGTTCTGTTAGCCTGATCTCTCAGCCCGAGGCCCTATTTATTCATTCAGTACTTATAAAGCTCCAGCTGGTCAGAGTAACCCCGTGGGTGGAGCGTTCATGAGAACTTCTGCAACAGACTGCACAAGAGGATGATGTGAGCTGGACAGATGAGGAAGGCTTCCAGGAGGAGATGGGGCTGGTCCCCTGTCTTACAGAGAATGGCAGATTGGGGAAAGGCAAGGGAAGCCAGGGGCACAGCCCCAACCAAGGGCAGAAAGGAGCCAGCAGTGATGGGCACTGGAGGTTAAGACGTGTTGCATGTGACATGAGCTGAGTGCTGTACCTGAAGGGATCCGAAGAGGTCCCTCAGGAGGAGAAGGGAACCTCAATTCACCCTATCCAGGGGGTAGGCTATAGGGTCACTGACTTAAGAATCTTCAAGATGCATTGGTGAGAGGCACAACGAGGTTTATTAGAAAGAAGTACCCACTTGGAGAGGAGCGAGGGCTCCCACAGAGAGGCGCTTTGTGGTCCAGGTCATGCGTGATCTGGGGAGTGTCTTTATGATGGGTGACTCAGGGTCACCCATGTTCCTACTGCTGGGGCAGCATTCTGCGGGCGAAGTTGGAACGCAAACCATTTGCAGTGTCTTTGAAGTTTAGAGACTGCTGCCCACTTCTTAGTGCTGCTTCCCTGAGGATGAGGTTTGAGGGAGATAGACCAATTTACAGGTGAAAAGCGCGGGCCCCAAATTACACATGTATTTTAAGATCCTTAGGTTTCTCTCTTTTTTTTTTTGAGTTTCCTAGAAAGGAGAAAGGCTTTGTAACTTTGTGTAACTTTTCCGTTCTGAAGCTGCAGTTTTTCTTTCTTTCTTTTTTTTTTTTATTTTGGTACCAGGGATTGAACTCTGGTCCTTGCGCTTTCGAGGCAGGCGGCAGAACCACTGAGCTAAATCCCTGGCCTTGCAGTTTTTCTTAAAGGTACAACTTTAAAATTACCATTTTCCTTGTCATATCACTACCTAGTTTTATTTTTTCTCTCTTAGGAGAGCACAGGGGTGTGAGCAATAGACCAATAACTTCTCGGTGTCCGGTACACCTGTGCTCACACACCTGGGTTTAGCTGTGGTCCACAGAGAGCTCACGGAGCTAAGTAGGTGCTATCAGGGTTTCTCGTCCATCCCTGCCCATCATCACAGTCACCACCACACTGTTTGTCAGCCTAATCTCATCCCCTGCATAGTCACTTTTTCATCACCAGGCCATAATACCAGATAACTGCGATTTAAAGGAGGTTTATGTTGGCTCATGTTTTCAGTCCTTGGTCACCTGGCTCTAAGGCTCGGCTGGAGCCCTCAGGGAGCTTTGCCCTTCCAGGTCTTGCCCCAGTCACGTGCTTCTTTTGACCAGGGCCATCTCCTAATAGCACATTCAGCCATGGACTCATCAGTGGATTAATACACCCGTGAGTATAGCACTCCCACGATCCAATCACCTTCCACAACCCCAACCCCTGAATATATGAAGCTTGGGGGTGGCATTCTAGATCTAAACTGTAACACCACCTATGGACTTATGGTGATCCACTCCCACAGAAGACATGCTTAGGGTTTTCTCTCCCCAGTCTTTGTCCAAGGATTTGATGTGATGACCTCAATGGTATCAGGCCAGGCTGTTACTTCCGCTGACTGAGAACAGTGACCCTGAGGTTGAAAGTTGTCTCTTAGTAAGAGAGCAGATCCATTGTGTGCTGTCAGGTAAACTGGTGTGTATTCTTTAGGGTTAGCTAGAAGTTCATTTCTCTTTCCTGTGAAAGGTAAGTGGGCAGCCCAGACTGGAAGGGGCTCGTCCACAACATCAGGTCTTTCCATCATCTTCCTTGGCTCAGTTCAACGCCCAGCTCATCCTCTTGTCTGTGTTCAGCCACAGCAGGAAGGAGAAAAGGATGAGAAGGACATGAAGAGCATCCCAGAAACTGTACACACCGATTTTGCTTATATCCTGCGGCCCAAACTCATATGGCCACAGATGGCTCAAGGCGTGCTAAGATATGTGGCCTTTACTCTTTACCTAGTTCTACACTTCTGTGAGGAGCTCTCTATTACTGAGGAAAAGGAACCCAGATCCAGGTACCAAGAGCAGTGGGTTTGGCTCTTTCACTATTTAGCATACTGGCAGAGTACTCCTTGTCAGGAGCCTACCAGTGACTCATACCACTCAGTTTGCTCACAGCCCAGCAGCTTCCAAGGTGTCCCATATGCCCCAAGATCTAAAGAACTCTGATCAGTCATCTCTCACTGGGCTCTTGTCCTAAGAGTGATGAAAGAATGGAGCCAACAGCACAGCTGGGAATGGAGCTGGGTGTGGTTTACTAGAAACAGCAACAACAGCCCTTACCAGGTGAGTGGGGTAAGGACGACATCCAGGGAGGCCCTGAATTGAGAAGCTTATAGCACAGGCATCCCTCATTTAACGACCAGGTCACAGTCCTGAGTCTGGGTCCTTAACTGAATTGGTTGTAAAATGAGGACTTGTGTATACTATGTGCATTACAGTATCAGAACAAAGAATGGTCAAAGGAAACTCCAACTGGATGACTCTGCTTTGATCTGCATAACTCTTACATGCAGTACTGTAATGTATAACAGAACATGAAACTATAGTACTGTGTAGTACAATCAGCAAAAATTACAATACCATATAAACGTCAAAAAAAGAGGCTGAGGTTCTATAAACAGCATGTACAGAACTGTATTAAAAAAAAAAAGATGGGTGGAAAGTGTGACCAGTGGGTTTTAGGTCTGAACAGTGCATATTGGTGGTAAAGTCCGAATGGCCGCTAAACAGGTTGGTCGTCAAATGAGGAGTGTCCGTGTACAGCTTTTAGCACAGAATGGTGCAGGAGATGTGAGAGAATGCAGATACGCAATTGCTTCTATCGGTGTTTCTAGGCTTCTGATGTCCAGAAAGCAGACTATTTCTTTGTCCTTTGCACTTTAGTTTTCTGAGGCTTATCTTCGGCTCATCCAGGTCCTGGCCTTCAGTTTAGTTTACTTGGGCCCCAGCCCTAATCTGCCTGTCACCCCTCTATCTCCTGTTCTCGGAACCAGGTTAAAATCTAGGGCTTGAATTTTGACACCTTTTGGTCTTCAAGTGGTTACCAGATGTTTATTAAGTACTTCTAGTAACTTAAGGCATAAAGATCCAGTGTCTAAGATGGGCAAAATCTATCTGACGATGACCCTCACTTTAGGGTTGAGGAAAGAGATTGGCTGCTCAAAGTCCAGAAAGAAAAGAGAGAAAGGGTTTTGGAGGGAAGACAGCCTCTCCCTCTGATGCACAGGCATTGCTTGTCTTCCATCAGCCACGCTAAAAAAATTTTTTGGCCGTACTGAGGATTGAATCCAAGACCTGCACACTGAGCTATATTCCTAGCCCTTTTTGAGAAAAGGTCTTACTAAGTTATGAGTTACCTAGGCTGGGCTCAAACTTGAATTCTCCTGCCTCAGCCTCTCAGAATGCTGGGATTATAGGCATACACCAGCACATCTGGCCACGTTAAATTATTATCCGTGGCTGAGCCTGTGAGGCCCTGGTCTCCTTCAAGTTCTGAGAACCTGAATAGTGCAGGGGCCCAAAGCTAGGCTCTGAAGTCAGACTGTATGGGTTCCACACCTGGCCTGCCATTGAGCAGCCGGGATAGCTTATGTCTTTCTTATAATCCTCATCTAACAATGGGGATGGTGCTGATCATAGCAGGCACACCACAGGGCTATCGGGAAGCTGTGTTGAACACAATGCCTGCCCCTCATAAGGTCTCTATAAGCTATTCTTCTCTCCCAATGCTTCATACAAGGCATTTATTAATTTACAATAAACGAGATTCCTAGTGGTCCATTCATCCATGTTCCAAGTATCTCCTGTTTGCGAAGCTCCGGAGGTAAGGCCCAAAGCAGTTACACAGAATACCTGGGATCAGTTTCTAATCGTCTGTGGAAAGTCAGTGGCACCATTAAAATTCCTCTTACGGAGTTTCCAGCTTATAGGTAGACTGTTAAATTCTCCAGAGATGAACATGTACCCTAGAAGGACAAAAGAGACAATTCCTGTGAGATGCCTTATGCCTTAGGGGTCATCAGTAGGGAAGCCCTACTAGTGTTTAAACCACTGTGTGTCTAGAGGCTATGTAAGAATGAGAGAATCAGGGTTATGAATTCATCTACAATCTATTGTATTATCTTTCCCTTTGGTTTTCTTTTTTCAGTTTCTGGCATAATTTTAACCTCCACTAAAGATTTCACCACTGTTAAATTTAAACAAGAAATCTGAATTTGGAATCTACAGAGAGGACCAGAAGTGCATTTTGAATAGGCAAACACACTTGGAATTTCAGTGAAATAGTCATGGCAAACCTATGGCATGCGTACTGCAGTGGGCAAGCAGAGCCCTGCCTGTTGGCACGAGAGCCAAGGGGCCCCAGTAGCCGAGCATTAGATATTCAGGCTTAACTGCAGTATTGGCACTGTGCAATACATAAGTGGGTTTTGGACTGCAGTATGGGCATTCAGTCTCTAAAATGGTTCACCATCGCTGAGCTAGAGGAGCTCTGAGATTATGTAGGAATTCAGGTTTAACACAGAATCCTCAGCATTCAGTTAAGTTTCCTGCAGGAGCTATTCATTTCTCCAGGAATGCCTCCTAAGAGAAACACATTTTCTAATTCCTTTTGAGCTACTGTCACATTGGCCTTCTTAGTGGAAAAGCATCTATCTAATCAAAATACATACAGAGTAAGAACATTTTGATATCTCATTGAGGGTGGCAACTGAATGAAATCCACATGTAAGTATTCAAATAGTCTAGCAAGTGGTAGAAATGCACCCTCTGAAATTTTTGTCTTATCAAGATTATGGGATAAAGATTGGTTACAAACCATCTCAAGAGTGACCATGCCAATAATATTTCATAACTTGTACCATTTTCTTAACTCATGGAGGGCAGAGTTTTTAGTAACAGAAGCTGTAGGGACGTGGGAAGGACTAGATGGGCATCCAGGCTCTCTGTGAATCCATGCTTAGCACTGAAGTTACATCCTTTTAAGGACCAGTTTTGCTTTTCAGTTCAGGTGTATGGCATTGTTAAAGGTCAGTACAGGTGATTCAACTGGACTGATCTTTTGGAGTTCATTTAGATTTAATATCTTAATAATTACAATATTGGCTTAAGATAAAAATGTGCGAAGGCATTTCCTTGGTATGTAATTAATTCTTGTTCTGCCTGACATTGGATTAGCGGTTTTATAAATCAATTAGTTTCTTCACTGGAGTTCTGGAAATCCTTATCCAATCCAGATGGTCTGACCTGAAACTTATTTGAAACTTGTCAAAGTCCTTTCCATGAATCTCCTAAAACATGAAACACTTTATAGTTGCAAGATATGCCCAGAAAGTACCAGACTAAAACAATTAATTATAGATAAGACATGGCTATGATTAAAGATCTGAGAAGAATTCATTATAAGGCAGTTGACAAGGAAATTTCATTATTTCTTTTGTTTGTTTGTGTTTTTGTTTTTGGTACCAGGGATTGAACTCAGGACCTTGGGCTTGTAAGGCAGCCGCGGTGCCACTGAGCTAAATCCCTGGCCTAAAACTGCATTACTTCTGTGATATACAATAGTTTAACATAATAACTTAATCTATGACTGGTAGTATTACACTAGGCCTGATAGTACTATACTAGGTCTAGGGACTTCATACAATTTCTGAAAGATATTAATAACATGCTTGATAATGCTTCTCATGCAATCTAACATATCAAATAAACCTAATTAATTAACAGCTCTCTCTCTCTCTTTTTTTTTTTTTTTTTTGGGTACTGGGGATTGAACTCCGGTCCTTGCGCTTATGCAGCAGGCAGCGAAACCGCTGAGCTAAATCCCCGGCCCAACAGCTTTCTTTTTATAAAAAGGAAAACAAGTTCTTTTGAGATACTCTAAGGCCCCAACAGGAAATTCCCAAAGGTAGTCTGAGGTCAAAAGATCTTAGTTTAAAATTTGATTTTGGGAAGTTGTCAAAATGCCAAAAGGTTTAAAGTGCTTGATTAAAATAGGATCACAGGCCATCTGTGAAACAATATTCATTTGACCTGAGTGATAATTTTAAATAACTTTATAAGCAAATACTGCCAGTCATGCAGCCACAGAAAAATCTCTTTTACTAGAGAGGGCTCAGTTTCCTTAAGCAATCAAAGACCTAATACTCTGAGAAAAACAGAATCTTTGTTTTCTAGGCTCATTACTTAAACGGTAAAGAAAAACCACTCAGTTTTTTAAGAGCAGATAGATATATTATAAGAAAAACTTATTTTCAAACGGGTCTATTACTGGAATTTTAAGGCAAGAGGCCCAGCTCTGAGGGCTCCAACAGACCGGGTTTGGCCACTTGCCCCATAACAATCATCAAGGAGATGAGCAGAGTGAAGGGTTGGAGGGGTTAATCAGCTCAGCCATGCTGGGAAGCACAGATAGAGAGAAGTTCAAGGTCTGTCTTCAAGGGGCTGACAGAGCTTTGGGTTTTATAGAAAAGGAGAAAGGCAAAGGCTGGGGGTTTGCATAGCTGGCAGTGAGGGCAGTTCTGGGCAAACTGTAGTCTGGTTGATGGCTATCTCGAGACTGGTTCTCCAAAGTCCTGGGAGCCATCACTGCTTGAGGGGGCAGCTGGGTCCCCACCAGGAGATGACGGGCTCCTGCTTAGTGAGGCAGCCTCAGGTCCTGTTCTTCTAGTCTGGGGCATGACCTCATCGTGGTCTGCAGTGCCCTGCTTTTCCTGGAATACAAGGTGGCTGCAGGTTTAGGACAATGGCTGGAGACTTCTGCACATTGCTCCATGGAGTCTAGACTTGGACACTATAAAAGCTAGCAACTGGATGTTCTGCAAATTACTTACTGTTATCTTAGATGAGGTGGGCTAAGTGAATTCAGGACTAATTACCTTTGTAACTAATCCTCAAGTGATTAATATGCCTACATCGGAGCTGAGCCAGGATCCAGCCCAAAGTTCTAAGGTCATAAAGGAGACAGATATAAAATTAAGGCAGAGATCCCAAGCTTCATGCTGCTTTTAGCACCTATTGGCCATCTATTACAGGACCAAATTCTAAATTAGTATCAGCCCAATTCTGATATCAATGCTTGGTTTTAAGAAACACTGACAAACCCTTTCCAATCTCAGCTAGCTTAAGCATGTAAAATTCCCTTCCAAAGATTTCTCTTCCAAAAACCTGTAACTTTCTTATATTTATTCAGTTTTGTCATTTGTTTTTCCCCTTTCTCATTATGGAACAATTAGTCCTTCTACTTTAGGGCAAAAATTACCCCTTTTCAGCCTGGTGTGGTGGTGCACGCCCATAATCCCAGTACTTGGGTGGTTGAAGCAGGAGGATCACCATGAGTTCAAGGCCAGCCTGGGCTTCATGGGGAGACCTTGTCTCAAAAAAATAAAATAAAATAAATAAAAATAAATAGAATCACCTTCTTTCTTTTAACAAAACAAAATACTTATATTCTATAACTTTTCAAAAAACACATTTTATCTTCATTGTATCTGTGCATATTGAATTGTTTCCCTTATTATTTATGATGATTTCTAGTTTGTGTATTAATTAGAATTCTTAATGAGGAAGTAAGGAACTTGTGAACAGTCTGCCACGCCAGCATTCTACAGAATGGCAAATCTATAAATTGTAATTTCTAGAAGCATGTGCTTTCTCATAATTTCTCAGTGTGGCTCAGAACATGTTTAGTACCTCTGTACAAGGTCTTATAAATAAATGAATCTTATGGGAAAAAGAGAATTGAGATGTGTTAGGTACATGTCCTGATTCCCCACAATGAAATGTACAGTGGTACCTCAGTTCACAAACTTAATTCATTCCACAATTCTGGGTAAGGTGGCAGTAGTGGTGTTCATCACCTGATGCGAAGTTCATGAACAGAAGCAAAATTCTTCTGAATGCTTCTGTTTGTGAACAGAAGAGTTCGTGAACGGAGGCATTACTGTAATCATTATGTACTACAAATTTGCTAATATAAATAAATAAATGCCGCAGGGGGAAATGTTCTTTTTCTCTGAGGGATTAGTTGATTACTGCTCCAGGGGGCAAGCTCTTGTACTGCAGTGAGAAAGCTAGCCAAAAGGGAGTGGTTCCTTCAGATGGCTGGAAGAAGAGAAAACAATTTCTTTTCTAATGGCTTGGGTGTTTACAATAAAAGCAGATTATCTCAGGGCACAGAATTTTTCAGTTTTGTGTATCTTAGTTTGGTTTAAAGTACATGCAAGTATGTCATCTTTGTGTCTGTAGCTATAAAGACACATACCTGTTCCCCTTTTGTTAAGTTTTCCCTACTACAAATTTTCTTTGGTAAGACCCACCCACTTCTCTAGAAAAATCACAGGTTCTGAGTCCACACTTATGCATGAAATTGGAGTTCCAATGGAGAAATTCTGGATTACTCAGATCCAAATGAATCACGATTCTGTGTCTTCTAGTGAGCGTACTTCTACCAGAAAGGAAACCATCCGCTTTTATATCAGCCAGTGATGGCTCCAGCCCAGTGCCTCTATCTGATCCAAATTCTAGGCCCAGTCTGGTCAAAGAACTGCTCAAATAAAGTCAGCTCAAAATGCAAATTTGCAGACCTAATATCTGAGAGGGAACTTCCCCCCTCCAGCTGCGGCGAGGTACAGCGTGCCTGGCAGGTCCCTTGCCTCAGCCCCTCCATGCTCTCCTGGTGTTACAAGCTGGTGAGGTCTGGTTCTTTCGCTGCACTCCAAACGAGCCCCGGGAAGCTGGTGAAGAGGAACAGGCTTTATTGATGGTAGGTACAGAAACGGGGAGGGGCTCACACTGCCCCCAGTCCTCACTTCACTGAGTCTAGGGTTAAAGGTCTTTTGGAGTAAGAGAAGGGAGGGGAATACAATGAGACAATAGAGGACTCCACACTCCCGCTGCCCTTTTCTACTCGCTCCTTCCCTGTGGAAATGAAAAGGGACCCAGACTTCCAGGGCCAGCATCTGCACAC